CACGAACCTTCAAGTGCAAGGCATGAACTCCTCTAAACCCTACACCCTACACCCGACACCCGACACCCTAAATCCTACACCCTAAACCCTAAACCCTAAACCCTAAACCCTAACCCTAAACCCTAAACCCTAAACCCTAAACCCTAAACCCTAAACCCTAAACCCTAAACCCTAAACCCTAAACCCTAAACCCTAAACCCTAAAACCTAAACCCTAAACCCTAAACCCTAAGCCTAGCACAGAGAATCTCAGGACACGACGTCCGCGGGCATAGCCTCTTTGGGCAACGCCGAGGCGTAGCGACGCCAGCACCGCATGGCATGGCTTGGAATGCAGAGGTTTAGGGTTTAGGGTTTAGGGTTTAGGGTTTAGGGTTTAGGGTTTAGGGTCTAGGGTTTAGGGTTTAGGGTTTGGGGTTTATAGGGTTCTTGTGAAACTCAAAGCTTTCGAGCCTCAGTTATGATTTCGGCACGCGAAGTCAATGGCAGCATTCTGGAGCCATGGCCGGAAGCATTCACAGCACGAGCGCTGCCACGCAACGAAAGTCATTACCCTAAACCCTAAACCCTAAACCCTAAACCCTAAACCCTAAACCCTAAACCCTAAACCCTAAACCCTTAAATGGGCCCAGGGGTTCCTATCGACTTAGGAGCCTCTAAACCCTAAACCCCTAAACTTTAAACCACTTTTAAGGGTCCCCTTTTGGGCTTCTCTAAAGGCTTCATCAAGAACTAGAGCCCTACCGGCGGACCGGTAAACCGGGTGCTTAAGCGAGTTGCCGTAGTCAGCTCACAAATGACAAAGAAAACAGGTACCCTTGCCCTAAACCCGAAACCCTAAACCCCAAACCATAGTAAGGGAATATAACACCCTAACCATGGCAGCTCCGCGCAAAATTCCTTCGCAATAAGAAACCCTAAACCGTCAGCCCTAAGCCCTAAACACTGCACCCTGAGCCCTAAACAACCACAAACCCGAGACCCCTAAACCCTAAACCCTGAACCCTAAACCCTAAACCCTAAAAAGTGGGCAGATGAGGCATGGCTCCAGGAGCGAACACACCTGGAAGTTGTCAACCGCAACCTCCTTCTCGTGCCTGGCGCAAAGCTTCGAATCCCTTAAACCCTACTTGGAGGTTCGTTTAGGGTTTTAGAGTTTAGGGTTTCGGGTTTGGGGTTTTGGGTTTAGGGCTTAGGGTTTAGGGTTTAGCGTTTGGGGTTTAGGGTTCAGGGTTTAGGGGTCTCGGGTTTGGGGGTCTCGGGTTTAGGGTTTAGGGCTTAGGAACTAAGGCTTACATGTCATGAGCCAACCCTGTAAGCCAAGAAGGGAAATGACAGCAAGGGATACAAGGGATGCCCGAAACCCTAAACCACTGGGCCGCTTTTGGGCTGTAGGGTTCAGGGTTTAGGGTTTAGGGTTTAGGGATACTGAGAAGTAGGGCTTTAAGTAACTTTTGCTTGTAACCTTAGTTAGGGTACTGCTAAGCCTCAAGTGCTCGGATCATCTTTAAAGTGTGTCTTTTTTTCAAAATACTGGTCACTGCTCCCAATATTCCTACTACTACTTTGGTTGCGTTTATCTGATTACTTTTTATATTATTATTATTATTATTATTATTATTATTATTATTATTATTATTATTAGCATTATGATTATTGTTATTACTATTATTATTAGTTCTTGCTGTGGAATTTTCGAACAGTTGCAGTGCGCGTGCAAACGGGGACCGCTAAGTGATTTCTGCCACTTGCCCCGCTTGCCCCACTTGCTGTGCTCCCTTACCGAAAACCACTTTGCCCCACTTGCCCCACTTGCCCCACTTGCCCCACTTGCCCTGCCTTAACCGCTAAGTGATTTCTGCCACTTGCCCCGCTTGCCCCGCTTGCCCCACTTGCCCCACTTGCCCCACTTGCCCCACTTGCCCACTCGCCCCCCTCCTACCCCAGCCCACCCTGCAAGTGGGGCGTGGGGCAAGCGGGGCAAGTGGCAGCAGGTTTGAGGCAGACTTGTGGCGCGGCGAGGCCAAGGGGTGGGGGGAGGGGGGGGGGGCGCTTGCCCCACTTGCCTCACGTGCCCCACTTGCCCTACTGGCCCCAGATCATTTTAGGGTGTGTCCGAGTCCAATAGCACTTGAGGTTTTACATGGCAAGGGTATGCCCTCAACGAGTCCCAGCCACAAGTCTGCCTCAATTGCAGCGAGATTTGAGGCAGACTTGTGGCTGGTTGGTTACTTTAGGGTCTGTCCGAGTCCAATAGCACTCGAGGTTCTACTTGGCTAGGGTCTGCCCCCAACCAGCCCCAGCCACAGGTCTGCCTTGAATGCAGCCCGATTTGAGGCAGACGTGTGGCTAGGTTGGTCATTTTAGGGTCATTTTAGGGTCCAACAGCACTCAAGGTTCTACTTGGCTAGGGCCTGCCCTACAACCATAAGTGGACCATAAGTCTGCCTCAAACGCAGCCTGATTTGAGGCAGACTTGCGGCGAGGCGAGGGGGGGTGGGGGGGGGCGCTTGCCTCACTTGCCCCACTTGCCCCACTTGCCCCACTTGCTTGCTTGCACTTGCCCCACTTGCCCCACTTGCCCCACTTGCCCCACTTGCCCCACTTGCCTCAGGAGTAATCCCTGCTGCCTGGGTAACTGGGGCAAGTGGGGCAAGTGGGGCAAGTGGGGCAAGTGGGGCAAGTGGGGCAAGTGGGGCAACATCAATTAGCTTTTCCGGGCCACCAAGTGGGGCAAGTGGGGCAAGTGGGGCAACATCAATTAGCTCTTCTGGAAAGGCAAGTGGGGCAAGTGGGGCAAGTGGGGCAACATCAATTAGCGGACCCCCTGGGCGCTCGCAATGAACAGTTGCCATGTTTTCAAGATGCCATGATGGGTGTGCAGCACCCTTGCTACGGTGACTTATACAACCTAAGGCAACCCACAGTCACAAGCCCTAAACCCTAAACCCTAAACCCTAAACCCTAAACCCTAAACCCTAAACCCTGTGTTTCTCTGATGCCGAGGTCCCGACATGAGGCCGACAATCGGCATTGTCCGGTAGCGCAGATGCAGCCGAACCTGTTCAAAGGATACTGAGAGGGCGCCTTGGGGGGGGAGGGGGAGGTTTAGGGTTGAGGGTTGAGGGTTTAGGGTTGAGGGTTGAGGGTTGAGGGTTGAGGGTTGAGGGTTGAGGGTTGAGGGTTGAGGGTCTAGAGTTTAGGGTTCAAAGGTTTAGGGTTTAAAGGTTTAGGGCTTTAGGGTGTTGAAGGGTTTTAGGTTTAAGGGTTTAAGTGCTTTGGGTTTAGGGTTAGTGCGCAGGCTTGCCAAGAGTACTTGGGTGAGGTTCCCTCGTTCCCTGGTGCGGCGGCAAAGGCACAGCAAGCAGAACTTGACCTCATATTGGGGGTTTACGATATTCGGCCCTTTTTGGGGCTCCCTTACTAGGGGATTCCATTCCATTTGGGGTCATTATAAACGCGGTAGCCCTAGTTTGGGAAATACCCATATGGGGGGGGGGTTTACGGTATTAAGTGTACCTTAAGCTGGGGTCCTGACTATAAGGGAATCTTACGATTTTGGGCTCTATATTCGGGAGCCCTAAACCCTAAACCCTAAACCCTAAACCCTAAACCCTAAACCCTAAACCCTAAACCCTAAACCCTAAACCCTAAACCCTAAACCATTGTCAGGCATGCTTTCGGGTCGACCATTTCCTGCCTTGTGGCTGCGCAGCTCCCTGTGCTGATCTTTCAGAGGGTACTCTATCATCACGCTCCTGGCCAGGAAGGGTTTAGGGTTTAGGGTTTAGGGTTTAGGGTTTAGGGTTTAGGGTTTAGGGTTTAGGGTTTAGGGTTTAGGGTTTAGGGTTTAGGGTTTAGGGTGTAGGGTTTAGGGTTTAGGGTTTAGGGTTTAGGGTTTAGGGTTTAGGGTTTAGGGAAACTGGAATGAAAGCCCATGTGATCACTTCCTGACACCGAGTTCGGTCGAACGCTTCGAGGCCTCTGTTTGAAGTTTGCAGCATCCGTGCTTCTAACGATCCTGTCCTCGGAGCACAGGTCTGCAGCACTCACAAAGCATTCAGATCTGGGCTCCTGCTGCGGAACCAGAACTCAGCTTCCATAAACAAGGCGCCGTGTTACTGACTTCTGCTCGAACGCTCTTCTAGTAGCTGCTACCCTAAACCCTAAACCCTAAACCCTAAACCCTAAACCCTGAACCCTAAACCCCAAACCCTAAACCCTACAATTTCGGCTCCTGACCAACAACTCCTGCAAGAGCACCGTCCGTTGGTATGCGCAGCATGCAGGCATCTTACCTCAGCTCCGCACCCAGAGTGTAACCTGGGGCTGAGGGTGCAGGTATTTGGGGGGGGTTTTAGACCCCTCAACCCGAAGACTTAGGGCCAGAGATCCGAAACCCTAAACCCTAAACCTTAAGCCCTAAACCCTAAACCCTAAACCCTAAACCCTAAACCCTAAACCCTATACCTCCAACAAGCATTGGGATCTCAAACCGGCAGAAGCCATGGCATGGATGGATTCAAGGACCGGGTTCAGGGTTCAGGGTTCAGGGTTTAGGGTTTAGGGTTAAGGGTTTAGGGTTTAGGGTTTAGGGTTTAGGGTTTAGGGTTTAGGATTTAGGGTTTAGGGTTGAGGGTCTGAGGTTTAGGGTTTGGGGTTTAGGGTGTAGGGTTGCCCGTTTGACCTCGTTTCTCATGTTCGACGCCGTGTCGTTGTACGTCGCCACGAGGTAGACGAAAAGCTGGTTCATGTTCCTGGCCCAGCAGTTTAGGGGGTGTAGGGGGTTTAGGGCTTAGGGTTTATGTTTTAGGGATTAGGGTTTAGGGTGTCCCCCCTTGGCGCATTTCCTGGCTCTTGTCAAGGAACTTACACAAAGTTACCACGACATTCTCAGGTATACCACCCTTTTGTATGTCCTTCATGGTAAGTTGAGAGAACCCTAAACCCTAAACCCTAAACCTAAACCCTAAACCCCAAACCCCAAACCCTAAACCCTAA